TACTCTGCCCTGAATATGCTTAATATGTAGCTTCAGATTAAAAATTATGTGGTACAAGACATATATGATGTTGACTAGTGCGTGTCACATATGTGTGTGTGCGCGCGCGCGTGTGTGTGTGTTCAGCCCCGGATCTTCTTCAGTCCTAAATCCGCCCCTGCTGGCCAGGCTAGATAACGGCACTCTGGAGAGGATTGAAAAACAAAACCCATTTAAAGAGTGGACTGCAGCTGGAGTTGATGCTTCACTTTGGTAAAATGTTACAGAGCTCCACTCATTAGTTTTAGTGGTATGATGTGAATTAAATTAGGGTTAGGCACAATCAACTCATTAGTTTGAGTCACTAAAATGAAGGAAAGTCAAGGATGGACCTCACAACGACTGCAGGATGAGAATGTGTGTGTGTGTGTGTGTGTGCGTGCGTGCGTGCGTGTGTGTGTGTGTGTGTGTGTACATCCTACAGTTGTATGGTAGTGTTCATCTGATCTAACTTTAGGTACAGACAGTAAGCCCTCACAGCCTGGAGACATTGTGTTAATACAGCCAGCATGAAATCTGATCCAGGATATCGGAAATATACATTTTTCCCAAAGCGGACAAAAGCTCGGCCACGTGATCCTGCTTGTTTGTGTAGTTAACAGGTCCTGATTCAGCCTTGTTTGTCTCCATTTGGTCCAAGTCAAGGGGGCATTAGAGGCCTGCATACTGTTTAATAATCAGTGGGATGTTTAGATTACACATGCAGGTCGGAGCAAAGAGAAGCCAGACCTGCCATCAGGGCTCGCTGTGCTCCAAACAAAAACCACATGTCCTGGTTTGGGTTCTTTAATTCTTCCACGACTCCCCGCTCTCCAAACGTCCTCATACTACGTTACCCACAACCCTTCACCCTGGGAAAATCTCAAAGATTCAAACACACGCGTGGTTAACCATAAAACTTCACATGAACTCGATGCACCTCTACATCTGCTCCCAAAATTAAATTCAACACAGACACGAGCATGTACACACACACACACACACACACACACACACACACACACACACACACACACACACACACACACACACACACACACTGACCTACAAGAGAGCAGTCGTAGGACAAAAGGACACAAAGAAGCATTAAGTTGTCTGAGGTGAGGAGGCTAGGGGTTTTTTGGTTGGGGTACCAATGCCGACAGCTCTAGAGAAGGTGACTACAGGCTTAGAAACAATGCCTGTCCTGTGGCTCGGCGGGGCTGCCCTGTCTGAGCACACAGGCTGAAATTCAAGTCAAGAGTAAACAACAAAAGAAGACAATGGGCCCACCCTGACTTCACAAAAGCTGCCTTTCCTTCAGTTGTAGGGAGGATGCACGGAGAATTCCCCAGAGAGGCCCGCTGAGCTATCACTCCTCACATCCTTTAACCAGCGCAGCGTCCGATACTGCCGCGCTGCAAGAGTGGAAGATTGGCTTTCTGGCCCTCCAACCCTCGTTTTCTCCATTTCCCAAAGCGTTTGTGCGATACGTAATCCCCACCGCGTCTTGCTGTGTGACTAGGGAGGCCAACACAATGCTTTTTATCTGTCGGAGCCAGCAAGAACAGAAAAAGGTTTCACTGGAAGATTTATATCCGCTTTACATGTTTTGGGCACAAATCCAATTCATCACTCTAGTCTTACAGTGAAACGTCACTTTGTGTTAGCGGAAAAGTCGAACTTACATTTGAAAGCTTCTGTCTCTTCCGGGTCAGCGTCTGGTTTATTTAAATGTGTTTAGGTTGAGTCTGGAAGCCTGTCATCAGCTGGAGCGGAGCACCGACTTGTTTAAAGTCACATGGTACGTCACGAGGTGCCGGGACCGGCTCCGTCAGTGGCGCCTGACCAGGATCCAGCCGAGGCCCCCTGGCTGACCACAGTTCTGTGGTCGTCTGGGTCGGTGCCGTGTGTGGAACAACTTGCACGGCTGATCCAGGTTCTAAATGAAGGGGTTCGAGACCCAAAATTGGGGGTCTTGGTCTTTTATATCCATCCACGGTGGGACGGCTGGAGTGCTTTTAAACGAACCTGAGGTTTGTGGTGGCAGACAGTGAGCAGGAAGCTTTTCCCAGGGCCTCTTTACTCAGCTGGCTCTTGGTTTGATCCACACTTAGATATCGTTTTGCAATAACATCGTTCACGTTTTATGACCCAAAATACGTCCACATAGCATCTCTTCACTGTGAAAACTACGTTTGGAAAGTGGGAAGCATGACGACTGCACAAGGAGTCAGTTTGAATCTACCTTTGTTCCAATTTAAAGACGTTAAATTCGGCTCATCTAGGACAGACAGGTGGTTAAATCTGACCCTGGCGTCGGGACTCCGCCGCCACTAGTGAGCGTTCCTCGTTGTGTGGGTTGTAATGTGTCACGTGTTGTTCAGGATGAATGAGATGCAGCTTCCCTGTATGAATAGAAGTGTGAAGTTTACCCAACCCTGCAGCAGTCTTCAAAAAGATGACCCCCCCATCTAAAATAGCTCTCTACACAAAACTGGGTTCAGGTGGTCCTCTGACAGCGGCGCGGCGCCGAACGACAGCTTCTAAAGACTCAGAAGGATGGCCTTCAAGTGTATGCACTGACCTTTGCTGATGAAAGGACCCAAAATGGTATTTTAACAATATCGTGATGCCCTTTCAATATGAAAGGCAGCATAAGCAACTCTCTAAACCAGTGAAAGTTAAAAGGAGGAAGGGTGAAAGGAGCGTGGTGAGTAAGAGGAGGTGTGTGAAGATATGAGTGTGTTGGTGTGTGAACCTACAGACCATTATCCATTTCAACGATATCACATCTTTTGGTTTTTTTCTGTCATCGGGACTTCTGCTTGGAAGAACTGATTCGTAGGTCCTTTAGTTGTGTCCCAGTGCGCGTTTGCATTTATTGAATTTAGTTCTCTTCCATAAAGAGTTAAACTTTGAATATAACCCGTAGCACATGGCACAATGGCCAAGTTTTTGTAGCCATTGGCAAGATGGTATAGGCTCTTTCAACAAGGAAATGTTTAAGACAGAAATATACTGTATAGATGTTAAATGCTACAGGACATTCGTGTTGCCTAGACATTTCATCCATCTTCTGAACGACTTCTTGGCAATCATGGGTTTTAAATTTCTGATTTGTAAGTTGAACTATCAGATTTGTTGTTTTAGAACGACTAACGACATAATGCTAGCCGCTAGCAGGCTCCTAGCATAATTCCTCCTAAATATGTGAAACCAGCTCTGATGTGTGTTTAGGATCATTGTCCAGCAGGAACAACCAACTCTGTCCAGGTTTCCAACCATTACAAGCTGGTTTCAGGTGACATTAAAGAATCTGGAGGAAGTATTCTTCCTACTACCCCCACCCCCAACCCCCGCCTTTGTGCATCTGCACCACAGCATGATGCTACCACCACCATGCTTGACTGCTACTTTTCTCCTAAACACTTCTGACCAGTGTGGTGGTAGAATCATCTACATTTTCTCTCATCTTATTAGAAGTTTTCTCCAGAAGACATTTATCTTGTCCGTGGAGCTTCTTCCGATGTCCTCTCGGTCCGCAGGCATCTCCAACCCTCACTGTGTACAGAGACTTGTGGTCCAGCAGCTTCTGGTTCCTTTTAAAGTCTTGGTGGTTCCTAAACATCCAAACCAACATCTTTTCATCTGAGGGGGACAGATGAGTGATCTTCAGTCTAATACAGTAAGTGCTGTCAAACAAATCCTTTGAATGCTGGCCAAGCTACGGCTACAACCAGCAGCCGTCAGTCAGGATCAGTAACACGGGGTTAACCGCCCACGGCTTTGTCTAGTTAAAATACTGTTACTTTTTCCTGTGATGAAGAGAAAATTCATCCAGCTCATGTTTTTGAAAATCTCTCCCATAAATCATGTCCTACTGGTGCTTCAGACATGAAGGAAACTGTTAATGTGACTAAATCTACCAACTTCTGTTCCCACTGAGAGCTGCATATCGGATTCAAACCCCGGTGTGTGAGTTGATCCATTCCGGGAATATCAGGATTTTTAACCCGTTCCAGAGACCAGATGTTTCACAGCTCAGGAGGATCTAAACATCTGTATTGGCCTACCTCAGGTCTGAGAACGAAAACCAAGTCTCCTTCACGTAAAACTGCCACAGGAGGCCAAATGTTTTACCATGTAAACAGCCGATTAAAACCTACTTCTGACAAACCGTGTTTGTGCCTAATGTCTCATTAACACACACTTAGCTCCGTCTCTGCCTCACCACAGAGCACACACAGGCCCTAGTGGCCAAATTAATGCTGCGTGTTTTCATTTCCAACAGGGAGCGCATTAAGAGCTGATAATGGATGCAAATCTGTTGGAAATTTCTCTCAGGGCCTGACGAGTTGCACCCTGCACAGCTGGCTGAGGGTGACGCACGCACGCACGCACGCACGCACGCACGCGCACACACACACACACACACACGCACACACACACACACACACACACACACACACACACACACACACACACACACACACACACACACACACACACACACACACACACACACACACACACACACACACACACACACACACACACACACACACACACACACACACACACACACACACACACACACACACACACACACACACACACACACACACACACACACACACACACACACACACACACACACACACACACACACACACACACACACACACACACACACACACACACACACACACACACACACACACACACACACACACACACACACACACACACACACACACACACACACACACACACACACACACACACACACACACACACACACACACACACACACACACACACACACACACACACACACACACACACACACACACACACACACACACACACACACACACACACACACACACACACACACACACACACACACAGTTAATGCTAACAGCATTAAACATTTGCCCAGTCCCAACACGCATACAAACTCACAGGAAGAGAAGTGCTCATTTGAAAAATAAAACATTTTAATAAAGGCTACATCTCTTTATAATTACAATAATTAAAGTACCGAGGCATCTTTTCCAACTTGAGCTCTATAGAATGCATAATTTACAGTTTACGTGTGGAGCCGAAGAAGTAATGAAACAGAAAACATGAAACGGATAATAAAAGCCATAAAAATATCTTTTTCAACATGAGGCCCCTTGTGAAAACCAAGGGATTAAAAAGACCCTGAAAACCGGGTAAAACATGGGAGAATCCATGTAGGCACAGCTACTGTACTCCAGTAAAAACACTATGAGCATAGTGTGTATACAACTATCACATCTGCATCTCACAGTGCAGAATACACACACGCGCACACACACACACACTAGAGCTTTTTTGTGTTGGGAAACATTAATATGGGTGTAAACACATTTTTGGGGGACTTGAAGACCTGTTTCGGAGCAGTTTCCTACACATTGTAGGCTATTTGTGCGATGCCTGCGCCACGGAAACAAAGGCACTGACTGATCAAGGCTAGCCGGGCAGAATCCCAGCGCAGGGAAATGAAACATTAATAGCATTTTTGCTCGTTTTCCATAGCACACGAAGAGCGCTCCACAGACGGCACCGCAGTAGTAAAGACGAGATCGAACTCTGAGACGGTTCTTTGTGAGTTCGACGGGACGGGGTGAGAGGAAGTCAAACCCTCTCCCGTTTCCTTAAGGACCCGCGCTCTGACGGGAGAACTTCTGGATGTGGAAAACTGAAGGAGCCGATCCAGACAGCTCGGACTGAACTGGGAAACGCCCAATAAATAGATATAGAAATCTTTACACAGCAATACAAGCATCCCACACGTTACAATGCCTATGTATATCTGCATATACATAAGGCTGGGTTCGGATCAGTGGTCATTCACCTAAAGTCTCTTGAGATCTCTCTCCTGGAAAGATTTCAGTCCAGCAACACACTCGCACGTCCACACACACACACGCGCGCACACACAGTACACGATTCCCTCTGTCCAAGGCAGCCGTTCTCCCTTTAGTCCACTAGTGACTCATCCAGCTTCCGTTGTGTTCTGTAGGGTTTAACAAGTCCACGTTATCCTTCCACGTCTCCAGTCCTGCAGTCTTAGCTTAACGAAGGACATCCGCACAGAAACGAGCCGCCTGGAGGAGCGTCTTCCCCAACAGTCACTCCATCCGCTCCACCTTCCCCAGGATCTTGCCCTCGTAGGTGGGCAGCAAGGAGCTGTCGTCCGACACTTCCTCGAACACGGCGCCACATTCGAACTCGTCGCTGGCCTTTTTGAAGTAGTACCTGCATCACAGAGACAAACCGTTAGCTTCAGCTGACCTTTACAAACACCACCTGAACTTTTATTCTCCTTTACCCATTTTCACCTCTGCCGCGGCTAGCTGGCAGTAGATGAACGGATCCGAGTGCTACGGTCACTCTCTCACCCTTTCCTCACCCCTCCATTATTACATGGAGATGGAAGAGGGGGCAAAAACGACACTTTCCTCCCCCCATAATGGCGCTCACGCAGGCCTGCAGGAAGGGCAGCTAACGGACACATCTTAACGTACAAGAAAAAATAAAATGAAAACGACAGGGAGGGGCTTGTCGTCAGTCATGACTTCACTGGTGTGTGATGATGCAACCCCCCCACCCCCCTCATTTAGGAGGCAGGGAAAGCAGCAGGGGTGGGCTGGTTAACGGGGAATCTGCTCATTAACTATGTCATGGAAAATGCCTCAATTAGCTCCATGTGTGGTGCAACTGGAAAACACGCAGGTGTGAGGGAGCCTGGCAAAAGCTGGAGTCGCTCAGTAACGATGACGTACGGCGAGCGAACGCTTAGAAAGCGTTTCGCTACACGAGGATGGAATAAAGAAGAGGACACGTGATAGCCGCTTCCTCCTGTTCCATCTCAGGAGGACAAAAAACTCTTCAAAGAGTTTTGATTTTGTTTTGTTTTTTTGCAGAGAGAGAATTTCCACTGGAACATGTTTCATGTGGCTGGACCCCCCCCACCTCCCTGACATCTGGCACCAATACCGTCTGGCAGGGCCGAGCAGTTCTGTTCTTTGTTGAACCGCTGCCATGTTGAAATGACCCAACTCCACATATTCTCTGGCTGCTATTAAAGCGCCGCGCTGCTAGCTTTGCTTTCCTCTAAAATGAATGAACAGATAAATTAACGTGGACGGCGCGGCGACGCGGGAACAGGAGACGACGAGCCGAAGCGGACAAAGAAGCTCAAACGGACCGACGCGGAGCTTCTCGTCACATTTGTTGGTCGAGGACAAAAAATAAATGCACACGTGTGGACAAGAAGAAGTGCTTCTTCTCATCCATCACGACACCTGTAATTATTAACACCACACTCCTCCAGGAGACCGCGGCAGTCCAAACAAGAAGCGTTTGATCTTTAGCTCCTTTAACGCCTGCTGGACTGGACAGAAGCAATCAAAAGCTACAATCTCGCCTCTTTCTGCAAATGCAAGTCGGATAGGCAGGATCTGGCATTTAACAAGCCGCCTTTCAAAAATATCCACAAAATGATTACAGCATGTGTAAACACACACACACACACACACACACACACACACACACACACACACACACACACACCAGGAAGGGGAAAGAAAGAGAGGCCCTGATAGCATCAGTGAAGAATTTGCACACTGGCCGTTTGTGTGAGTCTTTGTTGGTTGAAATGAAAGAGGCTGGGGCTTCAAAGCCGTGTGTATTAAGTGTGCCTTAGCATGGAAATCAATACCAGATGGGACCCAAATCGCAGCAGTTCAAACCCTCCCACTAACCCCTGCACCCCCCTCCACACACACACACACACACACACACACACACACACACACACACACACACACACACACACACACACACACACACACACACACACACACACACCTACACACACACCTACACACACACACACACACACACACACACACACACACACACACACACACACACACACACACACACACACACACACACACACACACACACGTCTGGTACCTGTAGTTGCCCTTCTTGCGGAGCTGCTCTTTGAAGTGACCCAACGTGAGACTGTGGCTCTTCATGTTCCTCCGGTAAGGGATCTCCTCGCCGCAGAAGAAGTACGTCACCACCGTCTCACCGACGCATCCCAAACTTTTCTTACAGCTGTCGGGTCACAAGCAGAGAGGAGAGAGGGAGTAAACAAAAGCAGGAAACTTCATTAAGTGGACCGCTGACGACGTAGGGCTGGAAATACAGCGACAGATCCCCGTGAGTGTGTGACCAGAGCCGTGTGTGTGTGTGTGTGTGTGTGTGTGTGTGTGTGTGTGTGTGTGTGTGTGAACCGAGAAGGGCTAAAGTGTTATCAATTCCCCTTCAGCTACGTCCAAGGCTTTGTAGTCCAACTTCAGACGAGCCGTGTGTGCTGAGCTCTGCTCGCCCCGGCCTGACGCCAGTGCGCTGAAGGACAGCCAGCAGAAATGAGACGCATGTATGAATCAGGCTGTGAGGAGATGGGTGTCAGTGGAAGGCTTCACATCCCTCCTCAGTGAGTGTGAGCTGTAAAGTAGCAGGAGGAGCTAACAGGAATGAAGGTGGGAGCTGAGAGGAGACGTACTCTTCCGACTGGAGACTCGTGCTAGCCGTAGCGAGGGCAGCGGGGCTGGCAAGAGACTGAGGGACGGAGCTCCCACCCTGGACAGACGCCTGGTGGACCTTCTCTCGCTGAAGACTTAGCAAATGCCTGACAAGAGATAAGGAACAGCTTAAGGACGGCTGTGAGTAAAGAGACCACACAGGAGCTGCTTCTGGTTCTGTACCGTGGTTTGGCGGGTTTGGTGGACACCTCCTCCAGTCTGCGACAGGCCTCCTCCAGTTGTGCCAGAGTGTTGGGAGGCGGAAGAGGAGGCATGGCGGGGTCTTGGATGAACGGCTGCGCCGGCTGGTGGTTTCGTAGGTGGGCGCAGTTTCCCCCTCCGCCCCACGTGTGAGTCTGAGCCGACGAGCTCCCGAAGGACTTCTTGGTGTTCTGAGCACTGAATCAGAAAAGAGACCCATGAAAACCGAAGCTGGCGGATAGAAACACAGACGCCTGAAACTGAAAACACCAGAGCAGGGCTCACCTGTGGGGCTTGTGCCGACCCTGGCGTTTGCTCTCCAGGATCCACTGCAGCACATTCTGGGTGGGGTCTGCCGTGGCGCTGGGCAGCTGTAGGGACCCACAGTCCTCCGCACACCGCTCTGCAACCCCAACCTCCGCCCCCGAGCGACAAACGCACCGGGACAGCGAGCTGGAGCGCCTGGGAGGAAGAGGAAAGGCGTTAGGTTTAAATGTGACGGTCAGCGCAGCAGGATCACAGGATAAACCAGCAAGAGGAGGGTGATGGGACTCACCCCATACTGGAGTCTGTAGAGACGGCGCCACACATCTCTCTGCCCAGGCTGCGGCTCCGCGGGTACACCTGGCAGGACTGGCACCTGCCAGCGCCAGAGCACACACCGTGCAACCTGAGGGCCGCCTCCCTCTCGATCTGCACCTTGGACCTGGGGCTGGCGTGGTGATGGATGTAATGGTGGTGGATGTGTTTGGTGCTCTGCCTGGTCACCAGGGTGCGGCTGGCGCCCAGACCCAGAGGGAAGGCCCCCTGGTCCGGGCTGGATGCAGAAGAACTCGGAGGCCCGCTCTTTCCCAGAGAATTGAGTCCAAAGCCTGCGCAGGCGAAAGGGCGGAGCTCCGGGGAGCTGGATCGTGGGGAGTGCCGGATCACGGTGGGCGACTGGCAGCCGGGCGTCTTCAGAACTCGAGAAAGGTGCTCGTCCAGGATGGCCTGAGGATCCTCGTCTGAAGAGCTGGAGAGGAGAGTCAGAGGATGCGGGGAGAGCTGGGGAGCACTTTCGGAGAGGTCTGCGTCTTCTCGCTCCTCCTCCTGGGAAATACAAACAAAAACATTTAAAAACAGAAACCAATACATTCTGAACAGAAGACGCGTCGCACCAACCTCCTGGATCTGCTGCAGCCTTTCCTCCAGAGAGCTGATGGTGTCCTGCTCCCTCTTCAGGTTCTCCAGACGGGAGATCAGCTGGGAAGCAAACTCCGCCGGCTCCATTGGGACCATCTCCTTTGGAGGACGATGCGTCCGCTTTGAAGGAACAAGCGACACATTAGCAACTCGTATCGTTTACGAACAGCTTCCAGACATAAAATCCCGACTAAATTCACAAATTGTTTTCCGCGGCTGGCGGGAGCGATGGGGGCACGCCGCCTGGCACCCGGGGGCTACAGGCGTACAGTCATGCTGCGTTAGGCCTCAGCTGGTTCCCTCTGTCATCATCGGCAGGCCTCTTTAAAGTCAGCTCACTTCAAAGGCTTCCTCGTCAAATATCAAACACTCAGTGGGGAGGAATAGGGTGGTAGAGGGAAGGATGGAAGCACGGATTGATGGGAAGCAGTGGCTTTACATCTAGGAATAAAAGCCACAAATCAACAGGGGGTGGAAGAGAACTCCAGGGAGGAGAGGATGAGATAAAAAAAACAGTAATGGGTAAAAACTCTGATGCAGAGATGTGGAAGGAGAAGAGATTTAAAAAAAAAGAGAGTAAAGGTTCCAAAAAGGGTCGTGAAGGTGTCTTCTACCTCGTCACACACTGGGCACCTTCAACTTAGAGCTGTGGCTGTTTTTGTCTTCAAGAATTAGCATTTTTTCCTCTTTTTGCACTGGGACTTTCATGGCTGTTCTTCATTTTCCCCTCATATTTCTTTGTAGTCGGGATAAAAGGAAGGAAAAAAGTGAGAGGAACTGTCTGATGGTGCTCGGGGCTGACGCGCTGTGGGAATGGCAGCCATCGCAAACGGAAAACACAAAAACTAAACAAGAACACAACTAAAAGAGGAAAGCTAGATCCAATCTGGGGAGCTCTCTTTGATGCAGAACCACCGTTAGGAGAGGAATAAAAGAGGGTTCAATCAAGTTTAGTTAAACAAGCTGCTTCTGTTACGACTGCGTCCATCCGGCCTTGGACCTCGCCTCGGATTCTCCCAACCTGGAGTTTAGTTAAAGCCTTAAGCTACCAGCTCCCCTCTGACCTGCTGAGAGCTCACATGACATGCTCAGACTCCTCCCTCAGATCCTCCATGTTTGGAGGAGGGGTGTGTGTGTGTGTGTGTGTGTGTGTGTGTGTGTGTGTGTGTGTGTGTGTGTGTGTGTGTGTGTGTGTGTGTGTGTGGGTGTGTGTGTGTGTAGGGGATGGTGATGGTAGCAGCAGCGCAGTAGCAGAAAAGGGGGCCAACTCTGCTGGAAGTTGTCACTTCTTCGTGCGTTTGCTCCATTCATCTGTGGATCAAAGCCTTGCGTGTGTGTGTGTGTGTGTGTGTGTGTGTGTGTGTGTGTGTGTGTGTGTGTGTGTGTGTTGTAAGCATCTTTGTGCTTTTGTTCAGGAACCCGGCTGACTCTGGGACCCTTGGGATAAAGCAGCAGAGATCTTCCTCATCTCTTCTCCATACTTCCAGCATCAGCGAGGAGAAAGAAGAAAAATCGTGCTCTCCGAGCACCGAGGCGATAAACAGCTTAGAGACCCCCCACCCCCCCACCCCACCCCCACTCACACACACACACACACACACACACACACAGATTTCAAGGAATCCTAATGGGGGTGTAGGTGACACCAAAGGTAGACGGGGGGGGGGGGGGGGGGGGGGGGGGGGGGGTCTTGTGTTTGTATGTGTGCTGGTGTGTGTGTGTGTGTGTGTGTGTGTGTGTGTGTGTGTGTGTGTGTGTGTGTGTGTGTGTGTGTGTGTGTGTGTGTGTGTGTGTGTGTGGTTACTCCTCAGATCTTTGCTGGTGTTGTTGAACTGAGAATACAGTTTGCACAGAACTATTCATAGAACCAAGAGAGACCCGGAATGGAGGGAGGTATGGAAATGAACACTGTGGGATTCGGTGTGTGTGTGTGTGTGTGTGTGTGTGTGTGTGTACTTACAGGAAAAGCAGGCAGAGACACTTGGCTGTTCATCTTCATGTTGCGCTGCATCTCCCTCTGGAGCTGCTTCTTGGAGCCCAGTTTATACGGAGGAATGCCGTCTCTGAGGGGCACACGAAGGCATCGTAAAGGTCAACTACCCCATCAGACACATCATTAAAGGCCTCACCGCCATCCAGGAGAGACTCGTTAGCCGACATCACAGATCAAACACACTTCAATCCAATATATTAATCATCCAATCTAGTTAGCCGTTCCTCTGTCAGGGCTGAGAACAAAAAAGCGGTCTTTGATGTGAACAGCGCCGGTACTTCCGGTTCCTACGAATGTGTGTTGGAGCAGACCGGGCTTGTCAGTGAGGAGGCTGGAGGCTTTATTTGCCCTAGAAATGACATTCACTCGGAGCTGTGGCTCCAGCCCCTGCTGGTGTTTGCTCTAAAGCCAGTAGCTCACTGGGCTGGGACCGGAGGAGAGGCATTACTGACGGTCTACTCCAGAGAGTTTCCAGTGTGTGAAGGTTGGCAGTGGAAGTGCACCCTGACTGGAACCAGCAGAAATAAAACAATCTGATCATTCTGGGGGTCTGTGAATGCACCACTACCAAGCACAAACACTCCAACACTGCGTTCTGGTAAAATGAGGTTTTTGAGAC